CCCAAAGTGGTAAAACCACCGACTCATTTTTGCACCTTTTCAGCTTTCGAAATTGTCTGCAAGCTAAGCTGAACTCTGTGAATCTGATAAAGTGGTATTCAGCGGATCGTATGTCCGTGACAGCGCTGGCGGTGAAGGGGTTTTCCATCCAAGAGGAAGAAGGATTCTTTAGAGAGTTTTCCAAAATTTGGCCGCACATCGCCTTGTCAGGGGAAACAATTTAAGTGACAGCCATTTTTCTCCTCCCTAGAATCTTTCTCGTCGTGTGTAAACGTTCCGAAATATCCGGTTTAGTGTAAGCCTCACCGGTTGGGAGGCATCCATTGTGAGCTCACTCAGCTCTCTGTGATGTGTAGGTTGCATGAAATGTAGGCACTATAGATTTCCCACCCCTTAGTGCTGGTACCTCTTTGTTTTAGAAGCATTGTTCTCCCCACTACATTTTTTGTGCCAAAAACCTCGTAAACGTTTCTCTGAGTTAACTTCTGCATCCTTCAAGTCAGGGATCTTCTCAAAACAATTGGCAGCGTTTCACCACCCATTAGATGTATCACTGTGCTAACGAAATTCACCACAATAAAAGCAACAAGCTATCTTTCCGATAGTATGAGCTGTACGACATTGTGGCGCTTTGTTAGAGGCGGAGTTTACGATAGAAAGGCAACCCATTCGGAATTAAGGTCGAGGTGGTCACTGATCTAGGGATGAAGAAAAATCAAGAAAAACTGCTTGGAAGCCGGGAAATTGGTTCCCCTTTTCGTCAGGACACTGGCGCTGCCTTCTTCGACACTAAAGCTCTTTCTGCTGGAGCCGCTAGAGTCAGGCGGCGAGGAGTGTGGCAGTCGGTGGGAGTGCAGCGGCGCAAGCGGCGCGGGTGTGACCCTGCTGGGCCGCTGGGGGCATACCCTTTGAAAATGCAAAAAAAAATTGGAAATGCGCATCCTCCTGCATCCTTACCGGGAAATGTTTTGAAATTCTCATAAAACTTTGGAAGGAGACCCAGATGTATCGATGTAGTTTTCAACACTAATTACAAATATGGACACTGAACTGCTACGTAAACTTCCTAAGGAAGTTATGCGCCTTCAGAATTGGTGAAAAACGTTGCTGTTGCGAGCTTACCTGGTGGAGTAACAGTCACCGTGGCTCTGCGCCAAAAGCGAATCTCATATTCGCAATCGGGGCATCCATTCACCGCTATGGAACAAGTTCCAGGCAAAAAGCAACCGTGTTCCCACAACAGTGCACCTCATCACTAGCGTTCTTTCGCAACTTTTAGGGCTCACAATTTTCTTACAAAATTCGCTTAGCAGTTTTAGTGTACTTTTTAATCAGCGTCCAAGACTCCAGCGATGTAGTACTTAGGTCCCCTCTCAAAGTTCCAGGGAAGTTCAAAGCATTCCCTGGTTAGAGATTTGCTTGCCTTATCACTAAGTATTTATATTTCCCTTTCTTCGACTTCTGACCTTATCATGGAATTCTCCTTGTATGAAGCTTTCAGGGGCGGAAGTGGTGCAGTGACAAGTGGCGCGCTTACCACGCGAGCGGTCCGGGGATCAAATCCTGGGTCGTGGGTCGCCCGGGCCAACCAAGCCTTCCATCTCCCCGTGGCCGATTAATTGGTACCAGACTTGTCTGGGAGGATAAAAACACTGACTTGAACATCGGCTGGCACCCGCAAGTCATTGTATAGGCCACATCGCATTCAAATGCCACTGCGAATGTACAAATGGAAGTAGAATGTGTGCCGCATCCCAAAAAGGGATTGATCAACGGCAAATGCTCTATCCTTTATCCTTATCCTTTATAAAGCTTCTAGCATCCCTAATTTTTGGCAATGTTTTAACTTCCTGGGCGAGTTCTCCACGCGGTCATTTTGCCCACGTCCCGTTTCAGCGCGGGCTAGGTTTAGACACGTTGTTGAATTCGACAGTCGTTTGTAATGTGTAAGTGTAATTGGCACTAAATTCCCTCTTCAATCATCCGGCCTCGACGTGCGCCCTGATCCGGATTTCCTTCTGATGGACACAAGTCTGCCATTTCTCGATTCCCTTGTATACATAAATAATAAACAGAATTTTTGTGAGGCCTAAATTTTCAGAGTAGCGGGAGAAATTTTCTGAGGAAAATATTTGACTCAGCACATTTATTTAACCCTTTGACGACCGTGTGGCCCACCGGTGGGCCACACTTTCGCTCGGTAGTGACACTTTTTTTAGGGGTTTATTTTGGCATTTTTTTGTTTTTAAACTACACAAATACATTATCGAATTCGTGGAATAATGCGCCAATTACTAATAGTGAAATTGTTGGAGAGTGAATTATTATTGATGAAAAAATTTAGAAAGAAGTGAAGTGACGCATTCATAACGGCGGTCGTCAAAGGGTTAAATGAAACTGCCTCAGAGAAGGTCAAAAAGCTTTATTTTTTCTCGTATGGCGGATGCAGTAGTAATGACAGCACGTCTTCAGAAAGTAAGTGTTTGGGATGGCAAATTTAGGGTGTCCTTGAACAATACTTATAAAACGCGGTGTTCTAGTTTTCGGTAATGGATTACTCTGTTTATCAAAGGTTTTATCGTAGATGGGGATTGAGCATGCTTTTTTAACATTATTATTGTTCTGAATCTTAGGTCAAATTGTGCAAACGGCTCCAAGTTGGACACCGAAGATCGCTCTTCATCCCATCTTCAAAGCGATTCTCAATCATAGCGTAGTACGTGGTTTTTGTTTCATCACTCTTTCTAGGGTTGATATTACTCTAGTTTCACCAGGAAACATTGCAGATTACGAAGGAGATCGATGAATGCACCGGCATCCTTCTATTTGCGACTGCACTTCTTCCTCATTGTTCAACTTTTTCACAGGATATTCTTAATTCATTATTCCGTGCCTTTATTGAAGGTTGCCAAACATACAGGATCAGAGTAAGTTGTAATTAAACCTCAAAATAACTACAGAATGGCTGATAAATACGGGCGACGGGTTCTGTGGACAAAATTCATATTTCTGTTTTATTATACAACTTTATTGGACATGATTTCGTTTTGTAGCATTTATTTCTGGGTTGAATGAAACCTCATTTCGGTTGAGAAGTCTACTGGCACAGAGATTTTTTTTAGCGAAACGTCGAAACGTTTCGAACCCCCTGAAAATGCCTTGTACAGAGAGAGATTTCAGATCGAAGTGGCCATTTGTAATGAAACCTATACTCACAGACGTTCCTTCGGACACTGATCTCAAATCCGTGTCCCAAATTTGCGGAACAGTTCTCTGAACCTAATTAACGAGATAAAGCAGTGGCAGCGATCCAGACTGACGGGAAAAAGCTCGTAAGATCAGAATATGAGAGTGTAGTTGCTAAGCTTTCAAACTTTTATTAGGCCGACGTTTCGGTACTTTCACCTTCGTCAGAGCTCGTGAGATCGACTTTAAGCGAGTTTCACTTGCTTTTTGAAGAAATTGTTGCAGAGACAGTTATTCGCGCTAAATATTCAGCGTTTGCGTATATGACAAATCTAAGAGCTAGCGAGGAGCTTCGAAGAAGTGTGCACGCTATTCGCAAAAGCCTTGGTACCTGTTGCACACGCGTCAGGCACTTTGCCAATCAGGGGTGATAATTGTGTTCAGCACGTCAATCTACTCCTTTCACAACTTTTGATCCATCTAAAACCTTTACCAAACGCCATCAACCCCTTCTCAGAGTCTGATCATGAGATGGAATCAAACTTTCGACTATACTTTCCAAAAGAAATATATCTATTAATTGCTTGCGTTATCCAAAGAGATACATGGTATATTTTTCAAGTGCATGCTCGCTACCGTTTATGGACAGCCCATTGTAGTGGCTACGGGTAACACCACCAACATATCGTCCAACTTTTCTAAGTTGGGTCCAAATGACAATTTTCCAGAAGTTATCCTTTAGAGATAGTTTGATCCGCTAAGCAAGCATATCACATTTGTTTACTTCATCATAGGAGATGGCGTCACCTTCCTTGACGGGGAACACCGCGACGTTTGAAATAACTGTTTCCTACCAGTGTCCCATCAATGCTGCACCACGTTTCTCACCTTGTTACTTCTCTCAAGGTTATGTATGTTCAAGTGGTTAGACATAATCTTTAGCTAGATATTCACATATTGAAAGGAATGATATTCAACATGTCCTCCTGTCATTGTGACTATGGTCCCAGATGCTTCGTTCACATCTCCACCGTAGCTCGCATGACATTATGGGGTGTCCTAATTCATGCTTTGTAGAGAAAAAGGCTCTTTGAGGGTGTGTTATTTAATGCAGGCCCTTCCCCCTGTACAGCCCAGATAGGATGATCCAGAACGTTTGAGTCAAGTGATAGGAGAGCCATTCGTTTGAGGATGTGGAATCGGGAATAGGGCATCACACCAATCTTGAGCTATCTTCGCCTCCTCTGCTGAAGCTACACCCCGTGAAAAAGATCTTTCCTGTTTGAAGTGGCTAGTTAGTTTTGTAACATATGATGCACTGGAACATCCGTTAGCTAGACTTATATCGAGTTTGTTCCCTTTCACTGACACTGGTGGTGAGCGATCGGTGCTTGAGCCGTGAAACTTGGCAAGATTATTTACAAGGGGTCATGAGAAAAGAAGGTTCCTCGGGAAAAATGAAAAGAAAACTATAGACATGTATAAAATTGAAGCTCAAAACTTGGTACCATATTTGTGGGACACCCTGGGTAAGTACGCTTGACTAATCTTTGGTTCTGAGCTCAGCCTTCAGGCTGGGCCATGCTGTTCAGTAGTTGTTTCGAATGGAAGAAAAAGCAACTGGGCCAAGTCGTCGCATCTAAGCCTTCAACTTCTTGAGTTGATGGGATGACTTTATTAACACCTTTTCCCAGCAAGTAGACCGAATAATCTGTGATTGTGACAATGAATGGATTCTACGTCGTTTAAATTGTGTATTCTGATTGATTCGTCTGGAGGTTTTTGTGATATCCGGAACATTTTTATAGTGGCTCATGCTGAACAGCAGAAATTCGACCGACTGTTGGGAAAGGGCCGATGTTGGGCATATTGCATTTGCCATTCGCGAATTTTTCCATGCAATCTACGTCATCTATCCCACCAATTTCATATCATATCTCAGGTCAGTGGGTTTTTCATTTTCACCTTTTTTTCTTAGATGGCTTGGCTTGTTTCTAATATACATATGTTCAAGGCTTCGGCAAAATAATAAAGTTAATTCGAGGCTACCAGGGTGGGATCATAGGTAGAAGTGGCCCTTTGCAACAGCACGTATTCCGTGGAATGTGTTTTTGGACGCTGATCTCGAATATGCTCCCCAAAGGGAAAGGAAATTGAACTGTGCACTCTCCGCAATTTAGAAGCGGGTTTTTTGTGGCTTCGAATAGAGTAGAAGGCTCAGTGTTACTCATACGCAGTGTTTTGTATCAATGATGCTACATAATGATCTGCAGTGCCCTTACTACAAGAATAGCAAAAAAAGTGGTGTACTGCGGTAGAAAAGGAAAATGGAGCGGTATGTCTGGAAACGTGGTTTTTTGTGCTGGCGTTCTATTCACTCAAGCGAAATCATAAGCCAGTATATGCCCACCCCTCCCCTACGATCCCCCCTTCTCCATCTGATGCCAAACTAACTTGGCCTCGCCTTGACTTCCTTACTCGAAGTGCTCGTGCCTAGAATTACCCACCTGCTTCTTCTTCCTATTCTTTTTCTTCTTATTATTCTCCCCGGCCTTAATCCCACGCAACCGCAAGGCCGGCTACTCTTGTTAGCCGTCGCCACTTTTGTACTATCCGCGGCTTCTTTTGCCGTGGCCGCCAGGATTTCAGTGTGGTCCTTCTTAATAGTGTCCCTCCACCTTCCTTTGGGCTATTGGTGTTCAGTTGCCCTGGTCCTTGAAGTCTAGAGCCTACCTACCGGGTGATCCTGTAGCCTTCTTGGTACATGCTCATACCATCGCAGTCGCTCTTTTTACACCTTCATTCGGAAGTGGTTCTTGTTCGGCAGCTCGATGCCGTAGAGCATCGTAGGATTTACCACTGTTCTGAGCACATTCCTTTAGAGCGTTCTGTAGCACTTTTGATCGTAGGGGATTCTATGGACTCCCTCAATTTCATCCATACCGCGTTGATCCATGCCTTTGCTTCTGGTCCCCACTTCCTTCAGCGCTAAGATCACTCCCAAAGATATCGGAAGACGCCAGTCTTTACCTTCTTTATAGCCGTCTACCATCGGTTTGTACCCTCTAAAGCTCGACCTCCAGCCCAGCTTGGTCTTCTTGACGTTCATCCGTTACCCTTCATCTGCTAAAGTTATGCCACTTCCGCAACTCACTCTGAAGCTCGTCTCTACCTGGAGATACAACCGAAACCCTAATTCTCGAAACCAAAAACGCCTATTTTTCTGCTACTTACAGATATGGAAGCCAAAAAAGGTACGTAACGTTAAAGTAAGGCCGGGAAGGCGTTTTTCATTTTTTAGGAATCACTTCGTTGATAGAGGAGAGGTCTCCAGTAGTCAGGATGTTGCTACGTATGTTATATGTCCTTTACTTGCAAGCGTACGACTGCATCCAAATCTTGTTCTTGTTGGTAAGGATAAGGAGTTGTCGAGAAACAGGTGCTGATAACTTTTTTACGCTTTAGTGCTTTCATCATATAGATATGCATTGCGTTCTTTCAAGGTGGCATCAACGCGAATCTCATGATTTCCTGGACGATTCCCGTCGAGTGGTTATTGGGAGAATTCCTATAAGGGCAACATCTGGTACGTGATATTGAAAAATCAATTACTTTATTGCTATTTGTTCTTTCTTCCATGATAAACTATCATAACGGTGTCTTTGTACCCACCATAGCCTGTAGCTTGGATAGTGATCAGAAGAGTTCCACAGTTTTCGCAATCTATTCCCTGTACTTGGGCTGTACAGGCGATTCTTGTAGGAAATTCGCCTTTCTTCCGCATACACATTCCTGAGCCACTCTCGGAACCTTGCCTCGCGCTCTCCATTGTCTGAGCAATGAAAAATCGCATTTTTCGACTGGTGGCACTCCATAACTTCAAGGTTCTAAGCAGGGTCAACCCTACGTTGGTACAAGTACCCAACGGGGGGGGGGGTCGTACCTGGTTGAATTTGTAGGAGGGGGGTCGTACCCACTTTAGTCGCGATTTCGTGGTTAATAGGCTAGGCGAGTGGAGGGCGCGCAGGGTAAAATTGCCGTTTCAGCGGGCGTATTTCCCCCCCCCCCTTACCATTGAGGGACTATATACCCCCCGATCGACGGCAGTTTTGCAGGAAAAAATGGGCGGGGTTTGATGGAGGATGGAAATAGTGGAGGTGTCGAAAAGGGGGTCGTATCAAATCCACGTTGGGGGAGGGGGGTCGTAAAAATTTTTCGAAAAGTAGCAACGATAGAACCGACCCTGGTTCTAAGACACGCAGCGAAGTCGGCATACACAGGGTGTTCCATTGAGCTTTAATTGTGAGGATGTCTGTAGTCTTTTTCCCAATGTTGGCATACCTTCACTTTCTGTAACCTCTTGTAAATAACCCTGCCAAAGTGCACGCCTTACCATTCGTTGTATTTACATCTCATGATGCACCTAAACCTCAATAGAGGTGGAAGATTGTGCGCGCCAATGCAAACGCGACGCTACCGCACTCAATTCGGCCTTTTCTACAGTGGATTATCAAGCCTCAGATACGCCATGCACTCGTCCACGATTCAAAATCTTGATGAATATTTCATTTTGATGTGCGCTTTTGTATCGAAATGCAAATATTTTTGTGATTCTGAAGGCCAAGTCATAAAAGATTACAATTTTCCTGTGCCAAGCATTTAAACTTTAGACCAATCCTGTTAAGCTACAATGAAGGCTGTGCTCTTATCAGTAAACTACTGGAGCTTTTGTAGGTTGCACTTATCTCCTGTGATCTTAGTAGTCTTTTCTTGGCACTGTACATAATAAGTGCTTGGGGGTCGTATCGAGACTCCAAGAGGGAGGACGTAAATTTTTTTAACCGGTCCGACGTGATGGTTGACCCTGGATGGAAGGTTGATGAATGGTAAAAATGGGAAAAAATGTGTTGCTTTGAAGAAGTGCATACCACGGAGCACGTCCAACGAAAATTCTTCTCCCTGTGTTGTTAGTCTATCTACATTCATTTGATTTCAATATCCAAGAATCATGACCATTGAGGCGGCGACAATTAGGCTAAACACCTACTATCGTACAGTTGATGTCAGTAGCTGGATTTTCGGTTGAGCGCGTTTCAAAAAAATCGCTCATATTCACTTTGAAGATTTGCTGATATTTAGACCTCAGACAAAGCGACAAAGAGACCTCATGGAAGCGTTTATGTGGTTTTTAGACAATTGCGACGTTGAGTACGAGCAACAAGAATCCCCACCTCCCGCTCCACGAGACATTCTTGCTCATCTCTTTCCTCCATCAACCTCGAGAAATTCACGTAAGTGCCGTGAATGCCAGTTTTACTGTTATCCATCTTAATAAGGCGAATATTTCAGATAAAAAGCAGAATAGTGGCGTTGAAAGAAGCTGTCCGGATGCTTTCAACCCGCTTTCCTGCAACCTTCCTCTGCATTCCCAGAATCGAAATGCTGTCGACAAGGAGTGGGCACCTTTAGTCACCGCTGGAGAAGAGAAGGTTGATCTCACCTCATAGCACAGCCCTTCATGTTTACCTATAAGAAGAGAAGTCTAATTGAAATAACTGAGAGTCATTGTCGATTAATGACTATGCGCACACTTATGCTAAACAATTTTCAAGACAGTGCACGCATGTAACCCTGCATGTAGCCGACACCCTACTAATCGCACAGTCTCAGTGACGAGACCGTCTCATTGATCGTAGCTGGCGATTGGCCCGTGGTCCCCGATGGTAAACAACAGACCACGAGACTGTTTGTTGTGTCACTGCCATGATTCATTAGTTCTACGAAATCCATGCTCTGTGCTTGAACAAATGCTCCTTGTTTTTCTGATACTCCTAGGCTCCTGTCCTGACAATTAGTTTTGAGCAAGTAGCAGTCAGCGCTGACTTCCCTAGGAAAGGGCGTGAAAAGCACCGCGAAAGAATTGTCGAACACACCCAGTGTCGCCACCTCTACAATAAGGGCCAGTCTCAGATGTCAGACCCTAAATTTTATTATGTATGGAGTAATGTAGCTGAAGCGCGGTACATCATCCATCTTCGTTCTCGTTTCTGCAAAACGTCATCAGTGCAAGAGGTATCAAAAATTACATGCGCTGTGAAACACGTCCAAACTTCATTTGTTGTCCACATTTGAAAGTGCTTTTGTCCACAAAACTTTGAAAGTGATTAATTTTATAGCACATCGAACCATACCATTTTATAATTGCAAGAAAGATTTGGAGTAGCTGCCGTCAGTTTTGATACAGGCCTCAATTCTCTTTATCAAGTGGTGCGCCACGTTGCCTGGAATCATGACGAGTTCATTTCAGCAGGACCGTGTGGCTGATCAGTGTGACAGTTTGTCCTCAACTGGCGATGGTATCGGTGCGTTCTTCCGAAGAAGTCGAGGAAAAAATACGTGCGAATTTTCCATTTACAATCTTTTGTTTAAAACTTTGTTTGAAGTAGAGTATTAATTCGAATGTGAATGCTTGATTTTGTGCATAACAAGATATGGGCTGGCGTTCTCGGAACCCTAATCCATCACAAGCTTGCATTGCAGGCTCTTCGCTGCCTTTGTGGGTCAGAGAGAAGTATCCCTCTTGCCCTGAGAGAGAGATTGCCGTGCTAGCTGCTGAAACCGCTGGCGATGATTGCTGTCATCCATAGGGAGCTTGCTTGAGCTTGCGTAATGGTAGGCGAGCGAATAAGTAGGGGCGCGCGTAAAGTTGAAGATTTACTCGTTTCTTCATAGACCACTTGATATTTATGCTTCATGGCTGAGATGGCTTTATTCTATCGCCTTCAAACTGACTGGATGTGTAACAACGGGTTTATAATTTTGCACCATTATTTATTGGAAACAGGAGGACAAGAGTGAAGAAAACGAAAAATTGTGTTTTTTCTGGTTAACAGTCCGATAACAATATACTGAGAACTTCATAAAAATTTCAAATTTGCGCAGTGGAACAGATACAAATATGGGCGGGATGCTTCTACGTTTTTTTGAGCGTCGTTACTAGAAAACCTCAAAGGCTTTCTCACCCTTGGCAGAAACCCTTTTCCTTTTCCACACCATCCCAATCTATCGCATCAAAACATTTTGTTGGGGCTCCATCACGGGGCGATAGGACGAAGTGCGTGAGAGAGCACCTCGTTCCATCACCCCCTCGGTTCCCAACGAATTGTTCAAAGTAGTGGTCACACGTGATATTTGGGGAACTAATCAACACTTTTGCTCGATTCTTTTAACGGTTTTGCTAAAGAGCTTTATAAATATGCACAATGTTTAGGACTCCGCTTGTATCACCCGCGAGTTGCAGTGCGGAGCACGTTCTAGATACAGAAACTGTACGCAACGGATCATAGTTTATTGCAGTAAGAATATTTCTCGTTTACATTCGCGAGTTCTGCGCATTTCAGAACGAGTTCACTGAAGAAGCAGAGGAAGCCATGGAATGTTTGACGCTAACGGGAACACCATCACCCGTAAGATCGGACCTACTCAAAAATTCTAATATGACATTTGAAGACTTTGACTTATTAGCAGCGAGTGAAGAAGTAACATTAATATCATCCCATGTGTAATGAGCGTTAACTATGATGCTTTCGAACGTTGCGGAAAAAGGGGTGGGCAAACACTTGCACCTACTGATTCGCTTCGGAATTTACGAGTCAGACTTTCTCTCTCCGCGTAAAATTTTAGTTGAAAACGCCCAGAATTTTTGACTTCCATGGCATTCAAAGTAAAAGTGGCAGAAGTGCTCATTTTGCATTTTTCCACTTACAGAGAAAAAAAAGCTCCATCAAGGTCAGTCACAAATGTTGACGAATTATAGATGGAGGGCACCATAAATGCGTGTCATGCAAGCGGCGGCTCCAGGGATGGCCCATAGCTCGATAGAGGAGGCTCGTACTGGCGAGTCGTTGGGCTTGCTATTAGTGTTCTGCGGAAGGTGGTGAAGAAACATCGAACATAACCATAGAAATTAATCGAGAAGCTCGGAATTGTTCGTTTGACTATTTACCGTAGCTCCAATTCCAATTCCTTGAAAATGCCAGCAGGTTGGGTCAGTGGGTATTGCATCAACTTCCCCAGCTTTACAGACACGTGGAGCAGTGATAACCACGTAGATGGCGATTTCGAGTGGCTACCAAACTCCATACTATCGTGTACGTGGCGCTATCTGTGCTTGGAGAATCACTGAAATTTGAAGGAATGAATTTCGGGGACGAACTCTGAGCCGTAGCGAAGCGTGATTTTTAACCGGGACATCAGTTTTTTTTTTCGAGAGGTGCTTCTGATAGTTCTTCACTAAGAAAGCTAATTAACAATCACGACGTGGCCCTTTTCCCATTTTTCGGTGGCGTGAGACGAATGCGATCTCGTGGGCGCCGTGTAGATTTTCGATTGTGAATGAGCAAAGAAGTTAGCGCCACAAAACGATGTTCAGTGCGTAAAAGTTATCTAATCGTAAGCATATTATGTAGGATAGGATTTTGATTAAAACGACGAGTAGTGGCAATAAAAAGGGATCATCTATTCACTTTCTCTGCAGTGAACACTAAAATATTTTTAACTCCATTGTTCCGATTTACCCACATACTTTTCCATCAGTAGCACTTGTCTTTACTTCAAGCATTTATCACTCCTAGAGTAAAGCATGGGTGGCCTTTCGATGAATCCTGCCATTTGCGATCACGTATGAGTCCCTATTTCATTCGTTCATCTGATACACCCAAAAAATGACGATATAAACGACTGGCAAGCGCTTATTAGCTGGTAGCCCACATGCATTGCATCTTCCCAGGAGCACCCTTCTTTGGCAGGCCACAGGGGCTGCCGCCGGCGTGAGTTCAATCATAGATCATGAATGGCATATGCGTTGTGGATTGACACTGGCTCTTCTTCCTCTTCTTTTCCTTAGCGTTAGTCCCGCACAGTCGCACGGTCCGGCGGTGGATTGACGATGGCATCTCAACGAAATATTTCTGAACACTTGATGTTGTGACAGAACGCTGATTACTTGTGTGATGACCTAATAATACAAACCATTTCTGGGTACAACAAAAATCTGTTTTTTTTTCTTAATGACAACATAACACCGCAACGGTAGCAGCTCGCTGCCAGATAGAAGTATTTGAAAAACTAGACATTTTTTACTTCCAAATGTTGATTCATCGTTTCTGAAGTTTGTGCATCATGATTCATACCTTTATAGAGACAGTCATGTTCTGCAAGCACGTGTGGTCCGAGAGTTGAAGTACTCCGTATGGGTCAGGCTGCTAAAGTTTTTCCTCCTGTCCATCGTGACCACTGCTCAGGTTACTTCGATCCAGACGAAAACGCTGTGCGGTCTCGGTAATTATTGAGTTTTTACATAAATAATGAAGAATAGTTGTATCTGACCTCCGCTACCGCTAAGTATTTTATTTCGTCTGATGTATTCCCCGTTTTCTCGGAGATTGACGCCACCCCTTTTTTAGTGCGCTGACGCTTTGACAGCGTCGGAGCAGAAATACAATTAAGTATTATATTTTGCGACTTTTAATAATGTTTTGTGATGACATCATGGCATGAGCAAGGCGGCAGCCTTGCCCTCGGAGCTGGGACTACCCTGCTGCATTTTATGCCTTCGATGAATGGCCTCTTAGTCGCCTGCACTCGAATGTTTGTGATTAACTCAGCTCACAATACTGAGCAATCCCACTGGCACCACTTGGAGGAACGGACCTGAATTTTTTTGAGAATTTGTTCATCATACGAAATTGTGTAAAAGTGCACAGAGATATAGCTAGCCTATTCGCTTCTTGTCAGCAAATTTGAGATTGGGAAGCTGGAATTTATTTTTCCTAGTTGTTTTCGCTAAATCTAAGATAGTTCCTTCAACTTGCATTCCATTTTTTGCACATCCCGCAAGCGAGCAGCCAGCGATATGCTCGGCAACAGTTTTCTAACACATTGACGACAGCGCAGTACGTATACAGTAGTGGCCAGAAATTTATAAACAGACGGTTTTTTGAGAATTTCTTCTCGCAAAATCGCTGAATCGTCTCCAAATTTAAAAGTTATTGATTAAATGTTTTGTAGCCTACACAAAAATATCAATCTTCAGCTCTAACAGGGGTTTGAAAAATTATAGATTTTTCGAATTCGTCGAAGGCATGTCAAAGATCACGTAATCCATTTATTTGGATAAAATAACGTATGACCCAACAGAACAATCAAGTAAACAATCACTAACATTAAGCAACTCTAGCACATTGCCCAGAAATCTCTAAAGTCTTGAATGCATAAACTGGGTTTAAGTGGTCAATTAATGAAGTCGCCCTCTAGTGGGGGTCTCTCTCTCTGTAGGCGCTTATTTTCGTGACTCTTTCATTGACATGCGACTTTGTAGCTCCTCCCTTAGTGGTTTCGTAATGTTTGGCTTAGGAGTCTGGCCTGGCTGGCTCATTAAAAGCACTCCATGCTGTCGAAACCACTCCTGCATGTGAGAGGCACGATGCTTTGAGTCGCCGCTCTGCCGTCGGACAAAATCAGTTCGGGCGGCAGGAATACCCACGGATGCATAACGCTTTTCAAAACATGACAGCAAACGACTGCCTTCATCACTACCTCAGCCGTGTAGCGTGGTTCCACTTCTTTCCAAGGCAACCTCATCAAGCCTCCGTCAAGTTTCACAATTGGCAGCTGACTCTTTGGATCAAAACGTTCCCTCTCGTGGTGCCGTACATCACTAGTATCCTTGCTGTCAAGCACCATTAATATGTTTTTGTCATTGCAGATGAACTTAGAGCCTTATCAACCTTCGTCTCAAGCCTGGTCAATTAAACCCTAGTTCCACTCACTTCACAGCGAGCGCTCTTCCTAGACTTTGAGAATTAATGAATACGTAGTATGTACTTAGATTCTAGAAGGTATTATGTATAGATAACATGGCTGCCACATGACCTAACTTTGTCTGTCAGCAGAGCAGCGACTCAAAGCATCGTGCCATTCACATGCAGGAATGGTCGACAGCATGGAGTGCTTTTGATGAGCCAGCCAGACTTCTGAGCCAAACATTGCGGAACCACTAAGAGAGGAGCTACAAAGGCGCATTTCAATGAAAAAGTCACGAAAATAAGCGCCTACAGCGAGAGACCTCCACTAGAGTGCGAGTTCATTAATTGACCACTTGAACCCAGTTTATGCATTCAAGACTTTAGAGATTTCCGGGCAATGAGCTAGATTTGCTTAATGTTAGTGATTGTTTAGTTGATTGTTCTGTTGGGTCATACGTTATTTTTTTCAAATAAACGGATTACGTGATCTTTGACCTGCCTTCCACAAATTCGAAAAATCTATAATTTTTCGAACCCCTGTCAGAGCTGAAGATTGATATTTCTGTGTAGGCCACAAATCATTTAATTAATAAAGGTTTTAAATTTGGAGACGATCCAGCGATTTTGCGAGAAGAAATTCTCAAAAAAACCGTCTGTTTATGAATTTCTGACCACTACTGTATCCTCGTTACAGCCATGAAGTTGGTCAAGTCTTTTGTGGTCAACAGTGGAGAACCACTGCGGATTTCCTACAACTATCCTTAAATTTCAGAAAAATATGTCCGCTCCACGGTCGACCACGTGCTTCGGAAATGGCGCGACTCTAGATATCGAAGCTAAGCTGAGAGGTTCTGCCATATCCAACCCACAGCGGTGATAAGCCTTCTTTCCGAGAACGCCTGCCCTTCTTGCTCAGCAGTCACCTCACGGCCAAAAAATACGATTCCTCTAGGAACCACTAAAACGACCTCGGGCATTTTTCAACTCGTAAGTGCCAACTTTCTGGGGGATAGGCAGCCACTCTTAGGTTGCTCGCTGGCAACAAGTTGCCGATAATATGATACACTCTGTTTCATGCAGCCAGAAATCCACGTCGCACACGTGGCTAAGTTCTCGATGAAAAGGTGACGTCACATGTGCTCAAAGATGTTCTTGAATCGATGCCACGTTGATGCCACGTCAATTTCTGTGATTGCACAATTCCTGGTCATTTGAAGGCGAGGGTACATATATGGATGATAGATAGTGCATGTGCTTGAAATAAAGGCGGTTCGAAAAGAAGTTCATCATACGCACAAACTTTTGAGGTAGTCTAATATAGTTGATGTATATGATACATATGAAATATTCAGATTCATGGCCCAGATTGTACGCGAGTGTAAGAAGGACCTGGCCACACGCGCCATCCGCCGAAAAACGCTGCAGTACGCAATGGCTTAAGCATCTTACTTGGTTGCCGCTTTTAATCAGTAGGTTGAAAGTAACTTTCACTTTGAAGCTCTGAACTCCGAAAATGCGCCTTGAAAGACAGCGCAGGACGAATGTGTTGCGCTGTCGCCGCGCCGGTCTCGCCTGACCAAAATTTCTAGACGCGTCGTCAGCGTGTTAAATGGCAAGCAATGCCCACTGACCTGCTGTTTTCAATCACGGCTTTGATTTAATTTGTAGTGCGGAAGGTCTCTCTGGAAGTGAAACCTGCAGTTTTCGTTTTGGGGCAAGGAAAGCAGGTGCTCACCAATTGCGAAGGGGTCGTAATTTTTAAGCAGTTTCCATCACCAATATTTATCTTGTTTCAGGTCTGCTTCTTTCCTGTTTGGTGGCCTTTCCGAAGATGACCATGAGAAATCCAATCATCAGGAGTTCGACAAAATCAGTGTTGGTATTGAACACGTTGCAACAGTACGTCAAACCATTGTGTGAGAAATGGATTTCTCAGAACATTCCTTTTTCAGCACAAGTGTTCTGACAACGCGTCAAACTGCGAATGTTGTGAACGTCGTCAGAACCATTTTTCCATTGGGTCGTTCTTTTCCGACTTGAACAGGTACTTCTCTATCATGAATTAATCATTCTTCTTATTTTTGGAGTTACCTATAACTTCTTGTTCGTTTACTTGAACAAGAAGGATGTCAACAGTTGTGCTGTTCTCCGCTTGTAGATCTTCTTGGCGTTTGGCTAGTCGTCATCAAGAAATAATCATCTCCTCAGAATTTCGCGAGCAGATCGCGCCTAGTTTTCAGTCATCCGCGCACCTTTTCTCTCGGTAAAAGTTACAGTGGATTTGAACGCCTGATTTCCAGCTAAAATGTGGAGCTCAATCTTAGGATTCGTCACCATTATGAATTGTCCCTACCCTTCAATACACAGTGTCTCCCAAAAGTATAGGGACACGAGATTTTTCTTTTTTTCTCTAATCTCTATAACGGGCGAATAATTTCTCTCCAAATTTTTATCAACAGTGCGCAACTACATCAGCGTACAAATAGTAAAAGGAATTGAAAAAAAAAGAATTTTTGAGAAAAGTTTTTTTCCATTTTTTTTTGCAAATCGTCGCGTCCCAAAAGTACAGAGACACTTCGGCGTTCAAATTATCTTAGAGGAATCCTTCGTGAAAAATTCTTGCATTCTTTTTCAACATGAATGTATCAGTTGTGACTCTGGAAGCAACACACAAAGTTTCACGCGTGGACTCGGTTTCCGGAGAGAAACAAACCTACATAAACTACGCGCTATGTACAGTTGAAGGTAATTCGGGTGGAGTCAAAGGCGAGGCACGAAAGGAAGTTGGCCTTTGGTCGGCTACGCAATGAAAGAATCGGGGTTAAGCACGCGATTTTGGAGGGTAGAGGCAATCGATCGATAGAGTGGGCTGGAGCAGAAGTGTAAGATGTGAATGCGATAAAAAGGCCAGAAAGAGCTTCTAGTTTTCTGCTCTTTCAATTTTTCTGTCCTTTTCTTCTTATCATATCAACGAGTTTCTAGCCAGTGACATAAATGGCTGAAATGGAATCATGATTTTCCCGTGAAGACCTTCAACGATATACAGGGTGTCCAAAATTACTTACGCCAAATTTCAATTTTTTTTAGAAAAGGTATATCGATTATTTTCATGTCGCCCACGACTAAATAGTTGTGCATGTGGGTTGTCTTGTGAACTGTGTCGTTATCAGGGCAAAACTGCCAGTATCTTTGAGATGGTGAGAGGTGATCCAGGCGAACTGCGATCGTTCGCGTGTGCAAGGAAGAGGCTGCATCGTGGCACCTTATTACATTTCTTGATGTTCCCGTGAACACAGTACAGTTGGCCATCAAACGATGCAGGAAAACAAGGACACTCAGTAATAACCCTGAACGGGGAAGAATGGTCAACGTTTCCTCGGGTAGAATTATCGAAATGTTTGGTCAGCAATCCAAGGTGCTCCATCAGAAAGATGGTGGGGCCGCTGAATATGTCGAAGCGTCGATGGGCCCGTCGTTAAGGATGAATAGCTTCACCAACTCTATCACATGCAGAAGTGCCGCCTCATTCTGTTCAGCAACAAACAGCGGAGATGCGAAGTTGAAGGGTTCTAAAGTGCTTCACTGGATATCCGCAACTCGCGATCATTTTTGAAAACTTTTTTTTTGTTTGAAAACTCCAGAAGTTCAAATGCACAGTAGAATTTTTGATATAGTTCAAACTCCTCCTTGTGTCTTAAGACTGTGAAAGGGTAGAGGTCCCGATCTGTAATTCCCTTCGAGCTTAATAATGTAAAACTCTAGTTAATACATCGTCGATCAAAGTGCCATACCCTGAAATTTCATATAAATCAGCTAGTAACAAACATTTCTGCAAAATATGCCAAACATAGGTGTGACAGAGTTTGCTTATAATTTCTGATATGTTGAAAATGTTTTAGATGGGTAAAGAAGAAACTTATAGGGTGGCACCCACCATTGGGTGCCATTCTCCCGCGCGACGGTCATAGTGGCACCCACCGGTGGGTGCCATTGTCGCCAAAGGGTTAAGAGCAAGGCATAGCATCGTTGAATCTGCAAGCATTGCAAGCAGCGTCGAAGGAAGCCTGAGAGGAAGTGGATAAGGGATACCAGCGTATAACGTACGAATAGTGCAAGAAGAGGCTCCAGGCCTGTATTCGTGTAGTTAGAAGATATTTCGAAATCTGCTTGTTAAATGTTGGTTGAGTATGATGTCAGTTTAATTATGCCTAGGTTCAAATACCATTGTGTGTCTAACAGTTCGAAGGACATTGCAATAAATAGGCGTAGGTAATTTTGGGACACCTTGTATAATGAAATCAACTGCTACAACAATAATCAAAAACCAGTAACCTTTCCTCTTCTTTCGATAAATTGAGTCATCCGCTTCGGCATGCTTCGGACAAGCCTGGGAAGATTTCCCGCGATATCCGCTCCAAAGCTACTTTGATGGCGCTTTTTCAGCACGAACGATCTTGCTCTGCTAGCCCGTACGTCGATACTGTAAAAGAATCTGTAGAGTGCACTCTTCTCGCACTCCTGCCACCAGTGGTCATTTCATGAGTGGATCTTCGGCAGAGCTTTAACCCTCTCCACGACTGAACAAAAAGCTCCATGAACTCTGCATTTGAAGCTGGGCTCTTGTCGAGAAATTACCCCCATCCCACACCCAGTGGCTACGAGAAGAAGATTTATCGCAAAGCAAATGTTGCGTCTGACTTCGGTCGCATTGTCATTCAGTAGATCACGAAGAAATGCCTGAAAGACATAGCTCTACCCGTTTCTCTTCTGAACTCTATGAAAGCGATTATAGTGGGCGTGATTTGGTTATAGATAATTACATGTTGCCCTATCCTCAGCCCGTGTAATTATGAAAATCGCTCTGAGAAGTACTATCATGAGATCTTAAATGTACGCACGAGCATTTGGTACAACTTGATACTCTCCAACTATGCTTTTTTGGGAAATAGAATTACATATCGTGTGTTTCTCATTTATTTTTGCATTTGTGGGAATGATCCAAAGCTATCCATCCGTTGTTTTGCTTGTTGCTTTTCTGTATTTTATTGATTACCAGTTTGGCTGCGCACGCATTCGCGTGCATGAGACGGGGCTGCAGCGGTAAAATCGGCCCATCAAGTATTTTTGTCTTGAATTTTAGTCTTTTTGCTCGTAAGTCTTACTTAACGCCGCAAACACTCCGCCCACATCCGGTTGTGCCACGCCGCAGCGTTCACATTCAACCTCTACTCCTACTTTTTCACCTCTGGCGTATGTTTTTTCAGGTCTCCAAGTCATCCTCGAGCCATTATGAGGCTCTTAGTAAATGGCGTTATGAGTCCACGAATTTCTGAGGCAGACCCCGCCCACTTTGGTGTGCATGCTAGCCCAACAATGGCATTCAACCCTACTCCATACCGTCAATACTTATGCACATTTTCCCCGCCCGCCGGAAACTTCTAGAAACCGAGTTATGAGAGCGGTGGCAAACTCCGCCCACATCGGGTGTGCCACGCCCAGCATTCACATTCAACCTCTACTCCTACTTTCACCTCAGGCGTATTTTTTTTCAGGTCTCTAAGTCATCTCGGAGCGAATTATGAGGTCTTGTAAATGGCGTTATGAGTCACGAATTTCTGAGGCAGACCGCCACTTGGTGCATGGTTAGCCCAACAATGGGCATTCAACCCTAACTCCATACCTCAATACTCATGCACATTTTCCGCCGTCGCACGGAACTTCTAGAACCGAGTAATGGAGCGGTGGCAAACTCCGCCCACATCCGGGTGTGCCACGCCCAGCGTTCACATTCAACCTCTCTCCTACTTTCAGCCTCAGCGTATTTTTTTCAGGTCTCTAAGTCATCTCGAGCCGAATTATGAGGTCTTGTAAATCGGCGTATGAGTCACGAATTTCTGAGGCAGACCCCGCCCACTTTGGTGCATGTTAGCCCAACAATGGCATTCAACCCTACTCCATACTCAATACTCCATGCACATTTCTCCGCGCCGGAACTTCTAGAACCGAGTTATGAGAGCGGTGGCAAACTGCGCCACAATCCGGGGTTCCGGCGCCAGCATTCACATCAACCTCTACTCCTACTTTCACCTCAGCGTATTTTTTCAGGTCTCTAAGTCATCTCGGAGCCGAATATGAGGTCTTGTAAAGGCGTTATGAGTCACGAAATTTCTGAGGCACCACCGCCCACTTTGGTGCATGGTTAGCCCAACAATGGCATTCACCCTAACTCCATACCTCAATACTCATGCACATTTCTCCCCGGTCGCCGGAACTTCTAGGACCGAGGTTATGAGGCGGTGGCAAACTCCGCCACATCCGGGTGTGCCACGCCCAGCGTCACATTCAACCTCTACTCCTACTTTCACCTTCAGGCGTATTTTTTTCAGGTCTCTAAGTCATCTCGGAGCCGAATTATGAGGTCTTTGTAAATGGCGAGTTATGAGTCACGAATTTCTGAGGCAGACCCCGCCCACTTTGGTGCATGGTTAGCCCAACAATGGCATTCAACCCTACTCCATACTCAATACCATGCAACATTTCTCCGGTCGCCGGAACTTCATAGGAACCGAGTTATGAGAGCGGGCAAAACTCGCGCCCACATCCGGGTGTGCCCAGCGCCTAGCGTTCACTATTCAACCTCAGCCTCCTACTTTCACTCAGCGAGTTTTTTTTTCAGGTCTCTCTAAGTCATCTCGAGGCCGAAATTACTGCAGGTCTTTTAGGGGACGAAATCGAGCAATCGTATCGTGTGGGTAAACCCCGCCCACTTTCGTACTATAGCCGTCGCTCACCGATACCAGAATGATATCATCTCGTCCCCAACCTCATTCTACTTTTTCCCATCTTCCGGAGGACTTATTGAATCCGAGTTATGAAGTACGCGAGCCAAATCGCCCCACTTTATGCAATGCTCCACCTGCCCACAGACTTGACCCCTATCCCCTCTGCAAACACTATCACGCTTTTCCCCACACCCCGGCACTCATATGGAACCGAGTTAATGGAGCGCTGTTGCAAACTCCACCCGACTTTGGTGTACAAGTCTAACGCCAGCCTGACATTAGCTCTCCTCTCTCCTAACCTGATCCACTGTTTCAGGTTTCCAAGTCATCTCAGAGCCGATTTATGAGCTCTTGTAGAAAACGTCGTCTACTTCAGGACACGCTCCGCCCATTGTGGGCGGACCTCCGTTCACATCATTTGTGCTGGAAATACCTTAGACATCGCTGCCCTGCACTAATTTCTTTTCTGCTCTGTAGGCTTCCTCCTAACCTAGTTATTGATATTTTTATTGAGCACCGCTTTTCCAGAGAACGCCCCGCCCACCGAGGGTGGGTTCCCCAATGCAATCTGGCTTACCGACGCACATTTATAACCACTTTTTGTTCCAGTCTCGAGGCTGTTTTTGACTGTATTTGGAATCAACCGATGCACGCCACGCCCACTGTGAGCGGGGCTCCGCTTGGCTGATGTGTGTTTTTTACTTCTAGGGATATGGTATACCCATCCCAAACTTGACCTGGACCCTATAGGTTGTTGTTCGCTTGATACCGAATTTCGTGACAGACGGACAGACAGACATAGCGCATTATATATAGTAGGGATTTTTGATGGGTTTGATGTCATCTGAAGGCCCACAACCTCTCGTACGTTTTGTTATACACTACGGTGCAAAATAGATTGCACCCTATAAAAAGTTTTTGTAAGAAACCGAAACTTTTAACTCTGCTGTTGATATTTTTCTCGAAAGGCACATAAATACTGAACGCAAAAATCAATCGAATACAGTGTGTAATCAACTACACTTTTGGATGGAAATATCAATTTTTGTGGTGCATAATAGATTGGACGACATTGGATACTTAACTTTTCCGAACTCTTCTTTCCCGTTTCTGAAATTCACATGTATCACGTGTTATGCGGAAGTATACGCTACTCACAAATGAAGACCTGTTCGAGCGAATGCATTACATCGCCTTGGGAAGAGTTATCTCCAACTCTTCAAGGATCTCAGTGTGCCTGAGTGTACAGTAGAAGAATTCATCAAGAATCAATCCGCGACAGGCGCCGGTTGATCAATTCGACATCGAGTTCTAACAGAGATTGCCTAGGAATTAGCTGCAAACTGCGAGATTCCGGTTTTGAAATAAACCGTTGTTCGCATTTTGAAGGTATCGGACCACACAGTTTGGCAAGGAAAAAGACTGACATTACCCTTGCCTCAATATCGTCGCCATCGGCTCCTTTTTGCTAGGAATGTGATTACCAGAGATTAAGCAGCGGGGTGTTAGGCACATTTCGAACTCGATGTTCAATTTTAATTTTTTATCTTTATTTTTCCTGAGGTTATTTCTTTCTACGACATGATGTTCAGTGGAGATGGGTTGGATGAACGGCAGTTGCATTCGCACGTTTCAGAAAGAGAATCAATAGTGATGTATCGAAGAATCGTTGGCGGCTTCTTCATTGGTTTGGGGGCATTCCGTAATGTAGGAACCCTTGAGATCTATTTTTATTCTTGTGAATTAAGTGTCAGAACTATCAGTCAGTCCTCGGAGACACGTTGGTCCAATCGTTTCGAAAAACCTCCACAATCACTTCGTCTTCATGCGAGAGAACACTTCGATCCACATTTCGCGAAGTACTCTCCATTTTGCACTCTAATAACAGCCCCTAATTGTTGTGGCCAGAGTCCTGCAATAAACTCTCGGGAACATATAGGGTATATTAACACGTTGACGACATTGTGCAGCGCATGCGCATCACAGCTTGAGGACCGTGTGGGACCGTGTGCAGCGCATGCGCTGCACACACAGATTATTAGATTTTTTCGCGCATGCGCTACTTCTTTTCTAATTTTTTGCATCTATTCTACAGATCACACCATAACATAGCTAGACACGGCAAGGTTCATCGAATGGTTGAATATGCTCCTATTTACCAAAGGTTTTCCAAGTCCTACGAATTTCCCAATTGTGTTCATTCCTAGTTTTCTTTAAAATCTGACAACCTCGGTGATAAAAAACAGAAGTAAAAGCAAGTATAGACCTACACATATAGCAAGATACAAGTTTTTAGTGGAGCAACCGAGTCAAAAATAATTTTGAGGTCCACTACAGCAGGAGCTACTGAAATTTGCGTTTTCATTGCCAGAAAACGTCCATTCGATTGAACTTTTACAGTTGATCCTTCTGAGAAGTTTGATACATCGAATATCATTCGAAACATTTTGTTGCATCCGGGTTTTGCATAGTTAAAGCTCAGAATTCACGGATTTTATGTGAAGCGGCGGCACCTGCAAAATCGCTCTGGTCCCACGCGGTGCGAAATCCCAAAACACCCGTTGTCGTCAACGGTAATAGGAATTTGGCGCGGAATCATGTCTCTATATTCGCCATTATAATCACTGGTTGAGACTCATGATCACGATAATAGTGAAAAGAAACCTGAGTATTGCCTTTAGTTCGATTAGGAATCCGAAAACTCGAAAGGCTGGGCACGCGTTCGATTGTCACGGACATCGTTCACGAAATGCTGGTGACGCGGGATGCTCAACTTGTTCTTCTGAAGCTAGATTTACGAGAAGTTTTTGCGCCGTCTGCTTCGTTTCATTTACATTCTTACACTTCTTATCATCCTATTAGATCGTATCGATTTGTCTCATCTCGAATTGCGCGCTTTAACCGATGTCTCATGCGTCGCTGGGTACGTAGCCGGCAAACGCCGTCTTCTTTTCATGCCTGCTAGCTCTGCCTCCTGGGTCCGTTCGATGAGTTCTACCTTGCTAGTTTTTGTACGTTTGTGTCTCTTCAGAAACCGAATTTCATTGCGTGAATGTTGATGCTTTTTCAGTTGATCACATGCTGGCTATTCTGTTACGAAGGAGTGCAAGGATTTTCCCGCGCAAGATTCCTTTAACGCGTAAGATCTATGCAAATGGGTAAGCATATGACGATATTTAGCGCTGAGATATGCCATCACAAAGGAGTGGAAAATCCCAGCGCCTCTGCTGCTGAGAAAGTTGTGCTTGTAAACCTGATTCTGGTTTCATTTGATCCACAACACAACATACACATGGTCCAGTCTATTATGCACCGAATTGAGAAGGGTAAAATCGTTGTAAGAAGCTTTAAACAAGTAGTAATGTCAACACAAATCTGATTCTTGTCTATTTTTGAACTGTAATGTCGGCTGAAGCTATAAAACTTTCGGCCTCTATCAAAAATTGAGTTTTCTATGGGGTGCAATCTATTGTACACCGCAGTGTATAACACCAGTATTTACTTTACTGTGGAGCTTAAACCAGAGCAGAAAAGATTATTGATATGCATGAGTAGAAGCTATAAGAAATCAAGCGTTGCTGAACTCAGTCAGCGATTAAATGTCCATGAAGTGGAGGAGGTGCGACTGGGCCTAGTTGCATAATAGCACCGAGAACTCGACGCTTAAGATTTGTTTACATACAGAGGGCTGTCCTACCGCAAATAATCAGTTATTATAACAATAATCGGGGAATTTTGATACTTTGAGACATCAAAAATCATCAATAAAATATAATCAATGAGAAAAGCGGTAACCTAAATCAACCGTTGGATCAACCTGGTATTCTCTGAATTCTAGCAATTTCATTCTTCTCTGGCCAAGCTGGGTCAAGAATATTGGTTTAAGTTTCGAAATGTATTTTGATGTAAAACCTGTAAACATCTTTCCTTTATAGAGAACGTTTTGCCAGCGAATATCACAGCAATGCTCCCTCCAATAAAGCTTCGCATTCTCGCTTTTCAGGAGGGACTTTACCATCTTTGTGAGTTTACATTTGTTCTTGTTTAGATTTCGTTTTAATTGGTCGCGGTTGCAGGATCCGAGTATCATCATGTCCAAATATCATTAGCGGAGAACGTATGCCTGTGAATGTGGTTAGTATTGAAATCCATAATTTTACGCTTTTGACATAAAAAATCCAGTTTGTCGACGTAGGTGCGGGCTGAAATGACGTCGGAGGTTCGGCAAGAGGATCTGCTGGAGAGGTTCCCTTACCTGCGTCTTATCCAGCCTTCTAGACCAGACCAATGTGGGTTCATTCGGACGTGCTGACACCCAAATTGCTTGGATACCTTTCAAGTTGTGAGCTTACAATGCTCCATTGCAGACGTGGAAATTGAAGCGGTTCAAGAAAGTGAGCACGAACAGAAAAGAGCTGCCTATATGGAGAGAAGCAAGGTATTTTTTGATTTGCTCAAGATTCCGATATGGTTCATGGTTAAGTACAGCAATCTTCCCTACATTTCGAACATTAGGTGCACATAAAACGGTGGGAAGATTGATACTTATCTTGGCTCTGTACTTCTGAAACTGGAACTTGATTGTGGTTTTCTCTACCCCTTGCGTACCGCGACGTTCGGCTGGACGGAGCTGTGATGAGATCCTGTCCACAGTCGCCACGCATGCTGTGCGTTGAATATAAATATTTCACTTGTATCATACGCATATCATATATGCATCAACCTTCTTATCTACAGTGTTTCGTGAAACCCAACGTAAAGAAACAGAGACTAGCAAAGAGTGAATCGAGTCTGGTGAAGAAGGAAATGTTGAATGCCAAGTATTACCCAAGAACGTAGTCTTGCAAATATATTAGGTTGTCCCATAAATTCGTGGGTATTTCGAACGTTTTTTCGAGCCTGCTTTACTTTGAACGTATGCACCAGTCAATCATATATGTACTATCACCATCAGTGACATGTTGTCAACGACCAGCCAAGGAATGGCCGCTTGTCTCTCAGGAAGCTGACGGTTATGGGTTTTAAAAGGTTTCGAAGTCGATTTCGAGGTGTCTAAAGGAGTCGTATTTTTTGCCCGTAAGGTGGTTGTTGAGCAAGAAGGGCAGACGTCATTAGAAAGAAGGCTTGTCACCGCTGTACGTTGGATATGGCAGGACTTCTCAGTATGGCTTCGAGTTGCGTCACTTTCGAAACGCGTGGTCAGTCGTGGAACGTACATATTTTCCTGAAATTTAAGGACAGTTGTTGGAGTTTTGCCGTTGATCACACCAGACTTGACTGTCTTCTCGGCTTTAACGAGAGAGGTGCTTTTAGTGGTAGCTGAGAAAGCTTCAAAAGAGACGAAGCATGGGTGAATTTGTCCATTTTTCACCTCCTGTGCTCAGTCTAGCCACTGCGGCTGCTGGGTGTTGTATCACTTAAGCTGTACTTCTCAAATGCCGTAACGACATTGTCCAACCAGTGCTTACGGTTGGAGTAGGAAACAAAATACAGGGGTGGCCAAAAAAGAGACACTTCACTACACATTCAAAAGGGAATTATTTACGCGTTGCGAAACCGAACCAAATGATCCCAAAAGAATATTAAAGAGCACGTTGGAATCTATCAACAAGCTACACAACAGCCCTTTACACTGACGACATCAGAAGATTTTCCCACGGAAACATGATTCGCGGTACCAGCTCAACGAGGTCGTCGAGATACCATAGACGATTACGAAGTCTCTGAAGCGCTGGTCAAAAGCGGCCTCTGCACAGTCACAGCTAATGTCTCTGGGAAGCTGTTTAACATTGAAGAAATTATGTAGCAGCTTCATGTCGGAGCGATTGCGGTCAGCCTCGTTAAGGTCGACGGTGACGGCAGATGACGTCATATTCTGAAGGCGGCGGGGCAGGAAGGAGATCCGCTTCTGTTTACGGGGGAACACTTAAGGAATATTCCGCCGTAAAACATTCATTACCATCGGCTCCCTGTGCGACGAAAAGTTCGATGATGTGCGCCATGGGCTGAGTGTCTTTTTTTTGGTCACCCCTGTATAGACAGAACTCGTGTCGCACTCCTGTCATCAGTGGCCAGTTCATGATGGAATATTTGATAAAGCTTCAATCCTCCCACGAAGAGGCGAGTACCTCTATGTACTGTGCATCTGAAACAGCAGGCTGTGATGGCTACATAGTTATTTCATGTGGATTGACTTTAACGAGAGAGCGTAGTCTGTCCAAATCCGACACCGACGGCCTTCTTGACCAAGGGTTTCCAGTAGTATCTGAGCAATGAAGATCCATCCATTCTGATACGTCACGGTTGGGACAAGGAGATGTATCGCAAAGCAGATGCATTTTCTGGCTCTGATCGGATTGCTGTTCAGTAGAATTTCTTGAGTCGCAGCGTTAGAAACATGTCTTTTCTTTTCTCATTTTGAACTCGAAGAAGGTGGCTTGGATGTTCATACTTCGGCTAGAAGATGCACATCTATGTCGCCTTCGAGTTCATCACGTGTAGTTGTGCCATTCCCACAAGCTATGTAAACATAATTAGAAATTGCGAAAGAAGCCTATGGCATGAGATTCAAAAAACACGCACGTACTTTCGAGACGACCTCATAGTATCACAAACCAGAATGCTTTCTTCAGTGGCCGCGCAATGCCGTTCCAGGCCCTATGTTGACAACGTATTTTGCATTTATATATGGGTGATTCCTTTTCATCAATACTCAATGTCTGAGTCAGTATCGTAATAACAGAGATTATCTATAAGTAGTACTTGCAGAATTTTCACTTATGCTTGAAAGAGCTCGGACTGGCTGATCGACTCCCTGGAAGGATTTACGACGATATGACACATATTACCGATGGCCTCCCTCTAGAGAGACAGGTCTGCTACAAAATAACTTGTATGTTTATGAAGAATGTGAACACCTGCCGTATGCGGTGAAACTGGAGTCCGGAGGGATCCCTCCATGCCTTCTCCCCTACTAAAAGAGGATTAAGACCGCTAATGACACATCAACTCATTTGAAATTACTTCTGATAAGTGGCTTCAGATTGTGGAGCTGCAGCGGAGGCTCTCACATTTTGGCTTGAAATATTCCAAGGAAACGGTCTTCAACAAGGGGACGTCTTTACTAAGGCATAGGGATGGAAAAGCTCTAGGGTGGATGACCAGAAGCAAAAAAATCGGGTAGGCTAATGCAGGCCTGTGGGATGAGGCCACTCACAGGTCTTAACCAAAAGTACAGTTTAAATGAGTCGTTCACGTATTTTCTTATCCTTAGTGTTAGAGAGGTCCAAAGAGTGCTCTTAATTGCTAAGGACGAAATAACAGAGTGTCCCCTCAAACTCCATTTTCATCGCAGTGTGCTCACACCTCACATTGTCAAGTGAAATGCTTTACCAGATAGTCCCCATTAGCAGCCTCTAAGCAACCGAACTTTTCAGCGTGATATTCTGCGTGCTCGGCTCGCGCTTGTCAACCAACACTTGCTTTACGAACGCAGTTGCCGTCTTCTTCATGCGAACCGGAATAGAAGGCTTTTTGGCAGGATTAAACTGCAAAAGGTATCGTTATCAAAATTTTTGACCCGTCGTGTGAGTGACGAATGGATTTGAGATTGTTTGTAAATATTTCCAGATTTCGCAGTGCCTCACTGAGTGAATATTCGTATTATACAGTATGTTATATAATTTTGAATTCGAGACGTAAAAGAAATCTGAGACAACTTTTAATACACCACTGCTTTCCATGTTGTTGATTCCATCAAACGGTCCCAGATCACTCTTTTGTGCACTTGTAATATTCGCTTTTTGAGTATGCAAGCTTCCTTCCCCTCGCCCACTTAGAAAGTGAGAACTGGTAATCTATCAACTCTACATATGTTGCTGCTTTGGTTATGCTACATATACAGGGAGATGAAAAAGTGAAACTTTTTCTATCTCCTTTTTCATGATTCAGTCGCACTATGCTGAGCTAATTTGATATAACGTGCTAGCTCCCCGCTGAGTCGAGTATATTAGGTCATCTCAATCAAATATGTCCAGGCATCTGGAGGAATTGCGGAAAAAGTAGAGGGATTAGAGCCCCATCTTTGTAGTGCTTTGAGGGCCGTCTCCCTAGCTAAGCGATCGCCCATTTTCGACTACATGGCCGAAGAAGAAATTATCGAAATACTGAAAAGAAATATAAGCTACCGAGATCAGCGCGCTGAAATGAAGCGTCACGCAAGGAGAATCCGCTTCTGAAATTCATTGCGAGTGATCAGCAGTTGCGTGGCAGAGTACTCTTCAAGAGTGCGGTGAAGGAGTGGGTGCGAAGGTTAAAGAAGGAAGAACGTACACTAGCGGAGGTTGAGGAAGTGCCCATAATGTCCTCTCTGACCACGACGAACGAGTGGATGAAATCAAGCGACAAATGGCTGAGCGTAGAGACTGGAGCATTGCCGAACTTCCCGCTAGAGCGGCATCCATGCTACAACCGTAGTCCAAAATTCGAAGATGGTCAAGAAGATGTCTGTTTGGGTACCTCATTCACTCATAGAGCACAAGTCCAGCACCGATTTGATGCATGCAGTAACAATCTTCTCCGCCATCGACGTCATCCGCGACTGCTAAAACGGACACTCGCCATAGACGAAGCATGGGTGGATTTGTACCCCGGGCCTAAAGGGCACAAGCGTCGAGTGGATGAACGCTGATGAGAAACCGCCCGAAATTGCTCATGAGGAGTTACGCAGTTCTAAGGGGATGCTGATTGTGGCAATGGATTTTTGGAGCGTAGCTTTTTGGAAACTGCTCCGAAAAAACCACAGTCATTGCTAATGTGTATCGTCAGTTTCTCGATGATAATATTGTTAATTGGTTGGCAGCACACAACTATAAGAAGGCAGTCGTCGACGAAAGGAGTATTGAGACTTATTCGGCCGCCATTATCGCCCGACCTGCAGCCGTGCGATTTCAACTGTTTTGATCAGCTGAAAACACGGATCAGTGACAAGCTTTACGACATCTGTTCGTTCGCCGAAACAGATATTAGGAACGTTATATCTGCACTTGTTCAAGAAAAGACGCGGCTCGGCGTCCAAATATTTCCTCAACGCTGGGAACGGGTTATCAACAACAATGGAGCCACTTAATTCTACACTGAAAATTAGCCTTATATCTCTTTTGTTGTTCATATTATTTGAATAAAAATGTGGACATATTCAAATGAGATGATCTCAAATTCTCCGTTCTGAAACTATAAAACTGCTCTGTTCCAAAATTTGCGGACGATTACCGACTTCAAAATAATGGAACTCCCTTATGAAGTGAACATTTGAGTTAGTGTTCTCTAACTTGAAGTGATGCGTTACTTGCCACATTTCCTGTGTATCCATTTAATTGGTAAATTCTAGCTACTCTCAGAAGAATCAGATAACTCTTCTCTTGTTGTGGCAACATTTATGCACTCACTTCCTGAATACGTTATTTGCAGCAAGATAAAATGTTTCTTTCAAGGTTGCTGAAGCTGAATTGGAACACCTGAAAGAAAAGCTTCTCGCTGTCGATGTTGAAAGGTAACTCAATTGTTTTCTGATTTGAAGCTGGACTTTACGACGAAAAGACAGTTCATTCGAAATCGCGAAATCACGTTTGTTAGTGACGCCTTGATGAAGGACATACCCGAGAATGACGTAGAACCTGAGAAATGGGATCCCATTTTTGTTCCTTGATTCACGCATTGGTGCGACTCTCATCAGCGCTGCCCTCCTCAACGCTAACGCTCTTTCTGCTACAGCGGATAGAGTCAGAGTCAGTCACCGAGAGGTCAGTCAACCGGTGGGATTGTAGCGGAGCAGGCGGCGAGGGTGTGCCCCTGCTAGGCCGCTGGCGGCATACCCTTCGCCCTATCCTCTTTAAAGTAATGAAGCGAACGTGCTCATGGAAACTGGCTCAGCTTTGTATGATTGTATTAAATTCGTCCGGAAAGACTGACAACGCGCGACGGCATGTTGCAAGGGTGACCCCGGACACATTGACGAAACTTGGATTTACGGTCCTAACCCATCCTCCGTATTCGCCAGATCTTGCACCTATGGATTATCAGTCGCTCCTTTCCCTGGCTCACTTCCTAGAGGGTAGCAAGTACGACAACTGTCAGCAGTCGAAAGCGGACATTGGCACCTCTTCGACTCGAAACCTGTCAAATTTCGGAGGAGAGACCCTTAATACTTTGTAAACCGATCGGACTGTTTTAGGCACTGGTGTAAATTATTATACAGAATGAAGTTTAATTTCTAGAAAAATATGAGTTTTTGAAATCCGCAATTACTTTCGTTGCGGCCTTACAGTAACTTTTCTCATTGCAAATCTCTTTCCCTCATTAGCGGTTGAGTCATTTATAACGGTATCTTTATCTTTATGAACATTCTTTCTTTATTCCTTTTAAGTAATCCTCCGAATGTCAAACTTTTTTTTATGTATACGAAATCATTTCAAAAGCTTCCAACTTTCCAAAGTTATTTGCCAGTTCATAAGGCCTTTTTCTTCTTCCGAGCTTTATATCACTTTAATCAATAATGTTTTAACAACTGGTGCACAAAAACTCTCTCCATCGACTGCATAGATGGAAACTACCTCTAGTGTCCTGACACTACAAGTTTTTGAGTCTCTTTATTGTATTAGTACTGTACTTTTTCCTGTTTACTCAATACCAAATTTTGAAGTCATGAAGGGGATGTTTGCATTGAGAACGGGCTAGGGATGGCTAGTGAGCTCTCCTTCGATCTTCACATCATCTGCACCTTTTCATTGGCAATAAAAAATGCCGGCAGCAAGCGTTTCTACTGAGCACGAGGCCACACTGTGAGCCTTGGACCTTGAGCTCTTCTATCATTCCTGGCTGGACTGCAGGGAATAGGGTCTTTTTTGGAGAGTTATGTAGAAACAAAAGCTATGTGCACAAGAAATCATTTCTCGATAGTTTGTCACATGTAGCGAAAAGCGATTTGACGGCACAAGGTCAGTGCTGGTCTGAGACAGAATTTTCGAATGCTTCTAATGCTAAACTCATCTTCAAACGATTACGGCTAAAATTTATGATGAGGTTGGTCCTCGGTGACACTTTTATGAGCCCTACCATTACGTTTAGTGAAAGGAGGAAGGGGAACGGGCGTAGAGTTGACCTTTGGTGTGCTCCAACCATATGACTACCTCCTTCGCTAGGCCATGTGTGGTACGTGTGGCTGCCTTGGCATATGTTTTCCCTTAGGGTTTTGGAAATGGGCTATCGCACTTGCCATGTGATATATCGTGGAGAAGATTACGTTTACTGTACCTTCCGTCTTGGTCATTGAGAACTAGGTTGTCCCTTCTTATTCATTGCAATATCTTGAGCATAACGGCGCGGAATCAGGAGGACTTCTAGGCATACCCAGAACGCCAAATCAGCTACTCAAAGAATATGTTTCAGGAAGGACTTAATTAGCGCCTTATCTAACTTGAGGCGGTCAAAAACAATGAAGAAGCTAAGCAGCGTGACATCTGAGCCTGATCCACTGGAAAAGATGAAGGCCTATGATGCGGTACGCCTTTTCTTATCGTTTATTACTGAAAGTTTGGGACACATTTCACGATTGTTCGAATGGAGAAAGAATATGGATGAGTAGTTAGACTCGTTAGCACCTACACCCTTACCCACCTGTATACAGCCCGAAATTAAAAGAAAGGCTCGAGCGCGGCGCCACCCACCTTTCCATAGCATGGCTTGTTAGGAAATGTAATTGATTGCGATTAGAGAGGAAATAGCCCTAATGACTAAAACGGTTTGCTGGCAAAGAAAAACGAGCGTAACTTCACTTGGGGATCCATCAAACTACCTATTTTCTAATGTCTAAGGTGTTTCCAGCATACATAACTTGGCGGAGGCCCGCCCACGACGGGCGGAGCTTGCCCTGAAGTGCACAGCTTTTCCTACAGGTTCTCAGAATCGTTTTTTGAGAAGTCATGGAGTTCGGGAAATAGGTGCATAGAGGTCACAGAAGAGGAAGCTAAATGTCAATGGTGGGCGCGGCTTGCCTAAAAGGGGCGGAGTTCGCATTCAAAGCTAACCGGTCCTAAAAATTCTCGGATACTGAAAAAAGGTGGATAGAGGTCCTCGGTAGAAGTGTTGGAGGTTAGATAAATTAACGCAAAAGAAGGTTAAGTACTGTATGTGGGCGGTACATGCTTTTAAGTGGACGAACTTATTCGCGAAACTTGAAGTCCTCGGTAGAACTGTTGAAGGTTAAATTAATTAACTCAAAAGAAGGTTAAGTACTGTATGTACATGCACCTGAGTGGATGAACTTATTGGCGAAACATCATGACTTGGTTCTAAGAAGTCGTGGAGTCCGGGAAAAAAGGCTTTAGAGTTTGTCTACGGAAGGGAGGTCAACATCTATAGGTGGGGGGAGGCACACACCAAAGGGCGGAGTTCGCCACAAAATTCGTCATTCGGTTCCAAGAAGTCCTGAAAATTGGGAAAAAAATCTAGAGGCTGGCGCAGAAATGGAGGTCAACTGCTTATGGTGGGCGGGGCATGCAACAACGTGGGCGCAGTCTGTTGTCGACTTTAGAACTCGGTTCTGGGAAGTTCCAGAAATCGGGAAAGGTGGGCATGGGAAGGAAATGAATTTCTAATGGTGAGCGGAGCATGTACCAAAAAAGCGGGGATTGCCGTCAGACATGTATTGGCTAAGAGACAGAATTAAACGATGCACCTTCTGATTCTTTAGAAATATGAGAAAAGGTAGGGAGAGGTTGGCGAGAAAGGAAAAGGTGGGTAGACATGCAAACAGGCGGAGTTTACCACGAGATCTATGTATCGGTTCAGAGGCAAGGCAGTTCGGAGATCGGAAAAAAAGCGGACAGGGGTTGGCGAAGGAGGGAACGTCAAAAGCCGTCGGCGGACCGGGCATGGGACAGGCGGATAGAATGTAACTTAAAAGTCAAGTATTCGTAATGTATTGGGCACAATCTGAGAGTTCACACCGCACCATTTCATATTGCCGAAGAACTGTATTGTGCGCGCAGCAGCGAGCTAAATAATATCAGGATCTTTCTTCGCGAATTTTCGGGAGTAGCGAGCACTTATACTTCCACGCTTAGTCGCCACAACCCGCTATTCGGTCACGATATCGTTTCTAGCGTTAAAGAGTCTCGAGATTGAAAAATCGCTTACTCATCCACAATATCAGTTAAAAAATTTGTATGCTCAGTACGCTTTCAGTTTAACCTGTTCTCGATTTTCAGGAATACAATCGTTTATGTAAGAGTATACAAGAGGTCACCTTCCAAAACGAAGCTGCAGATCGCGAAACTTCGCACTGGAAGTATCAGGTGCTTGCTTTTATGAGTTGAATTTTGAGCAATGTTGTCACTTTCTGAAATTGAGCAGATTTTTTTTTCACAAAATCATTTCTGAATCCGCATAAGAGCAACACTCAGGTGGAATTGCTTTCACTGAAAACTGTCTCACTTATTGAAAGATATGGTGAGTTGATCTTGAAACATCCACCTTTCCCAGTCGACTTTTTCACGTCATCTAAACGAGTCAAGGCAGTGTCCTGCTTCCATCCTTTCACTGTGCTGACGAGGAAGGCCTTTCAGGGAATGTCCAGCTCTCTCGAAACGGTTTTTTGCATGATATAGGAGGACGTGCGCGGAACACAGAACTGTAGTTCATTTTTCTTGAGCGGCCCTCTGAATACCAAAAATAGGGGTGGTGAAGTGTCCGTGGTTCGAATCTTCGCGTGACAATTTTTAACATTTTTTGTGAGCGTTGCAAAATTCGCGAAAAATTGCGTTAGGGGGAATAACTTATATTATAATATCTATAATTAAGGTTATCAGCAACATTTATACGTAGACTTCGGCTGAAAAACTGTGAAGAGAGTTAAGAACGGCAGTTCCTTAAGAAGTTTTTCTTCACTCCTTTTTTTGGTATTCAGAGGGCCGCTGAGGGCAAAAATTCTCGACAAGCCGTTGAGGAATCCTCGACCGATATTCACCCTGATGCAGATCAAGGACGCAGAAGTTTGCACTGGCCCACGTTTATGGAATTGCGTTGTATAGCATTCTCTCAGATCAGCTTTCTATTCACGGGAGATGCTTTGGCTTCAGAAGGCAAAAGGCGGTCTCACTAAATGGCCCTATGAGGTCCTTTTTTTAGGTGCCAACATATTCATTCGAGCCGCTTGTCCCCCGCCTCCCTTGACCCAATCGTTAGCAGCTTCTGTCAGCCACCTTCTATATCTCCGTCTCACCCCCATACCTTATGTAAGGACCTAAGCGCCATCGTTGCTGCGATTCGCGGTAACACCGGTCCAACACTCACACGGACACGGACACCAACAGAATGACATAACCGATTATATGCAAATCATGGGTTTCACAAGAATGTTGGGTTGTGAACAAAACTTTCGCCCCAGACGGGATTCGAATTCGCACCCCTCGTTTTCCGGGCAAGTGCGCTACCAGTTACGCTACGATAACGATAGATTAACGGCAACCCTATCCGATACAATCTCAACCTGTAGACCTCTGTTCCAACATCTCGCCTTCATGTTGATTTGGCATTATTTCTTGACCGTTTTTTCCAGGTCTGGGCTAGATGCTCTGACTCATGAGATTATCGTCCCTTTCGAAAACACCTATTCGTTTCAGATTGACCAATATCGTCGAAGAGCCGACGACGCCGAAGAGACTGTTCGCCTTTTGCAGAGTCAGCTCGCTTCTGTGGAGGTCTTTGTTCTCTTCTTTACAGTTACCTGGTTCTTCGTAATAGACATCGGTTTCAGTCCAAAGTGCAAGATTTACGAAAGGCTCAACTTGCTAATCAGCAACTGCGTGATCAAATACGCATGGTAGGAACAACCATTATCAGATCCATTTTTTTCATATTCATTATATAATGTAAATATACCAAGAACATATGGCTCTTGACTACATTCGGCAATTTTTGTTGGGAGCAATGACTGTCAGAAACGTCACTTGCTTTGCCTTTCTATTTAGCGCTCGGATTTTGATAAGTGAGCTTACAGCTTTTCCGTGCCAGCTCACGTAAATAGGTGTTTGACTTTTGAGTGAGATATTATTTACTTACCACTATTTATGAGTAAGACAGTAGCTCAAAAAAACTGTTAACACGTTGACGACATCGCGCGTTTTGTGTTTTTGCACGGCGTGAGACTAGAGCGATTTTGCGAGCGCAGCCGCTACACAACAAATCCATGGATTTTGACCTTTAAATACGCGATACTCAGGTGCGATGGAGTGTTTTCAATAATGTTTGGTCTGTCTAGCTTATTGGAATTACAGTAATGGAAGTTGACGGAAATGGCATGATAAGGCTATGAAACGGCAAATTGTAGTTACTTTCCCTTCAGTGGTTCCAAAATTATTTTGGACGTGGTTGTTTAAGTAAAAACACATATCTTCCCGTACAAATAGGTTTGTATTTGCCTCTGTTATTCCTTTTTGTCAACATGTTTAGAACTGAACAGACATATCCGTAAGGTCTGAATCTCTGCCAAAATAAAGAATATTTGGCCTTTCTGTGAGCCATGTGACTTTTAACACTTTGGAGACCGCGCGTGTTTTACGATCCGCGGCCGCGCGGAACTTCGGTGAAAATTTCAGGGATCTTTTTTGGCAAAGTCAAAAGAAGAACCCACTATATAATGCAGAAGAAATCTTACCGGATAAAATGGAAAACAACAAATAATAATAATTGTTACAATAATTGTTTACAGAATGCGAGCTGAAAGTACAATGCGGTCGGGCGACTGCAGCCCACATATGGGCTGCGTGGGCTCCAAGGTGTTGAGTAAGCTAATGTATGACCTATAGAATGAGTAGAAAGACCTTAGTAATAAGTCGCACAAGCGCAAGAAAAAGGGATGACTTGGGTGGGAAACGTTACCGCGTCACAATGTCCCACGAGGTGCGCAAAGTGGGACGCGTTACCGAGTCACGCTGTCGTCAACGTATTGAATAATTTCATTGTTGATTGCATGTCCTCCTCTGGTTATGATTGCAGAAAGATTCACACGTCGTGGGTCATCTGAGATGTAATTTCATAAAATTAGAAGTTCAGAGTGGGGTTTTGTCGAGTTTCAAGGCACCATCTTAAGAACCCAGCAAGCTGAATCTCAGGTAGAAATTTTTTAGCGTAGTCTTTGAATGCGTCCATCTCTCACAATTTTAATAGTATGTAGAGAGTGATCCTTAAGGGGACCAATGGCGAGAGTCATTGGCCATAACGCGCTTTGATTGCCTTAAGTTTAGACCAGTGCCGCGCTGCCCAGCTTTCACACGATTTCGAGAAGTGGGAGAGATTTAAAATGAATTAAAATCGTTACCGTATTATCGTGACGGTATGGCCACTTTGCTTTCTATTTGGTTTGAAAGCATAGCAAATACCTTTAAAAAAATCTAACATATTGTAAATCTTCCGCTGTTATGACTCCAACATTTCTTTATCAACGAATGTTTGAGCAGAACAAATGAACATGCTCGAGTTAACCGCCTGATTTTTGATAGGAGTGTCAGTTGCACGTTTTGCTAATTGAAACTCAACTTTTTAAGCTCGAATTTCGCAGTGGAGACGAACGGCGTTCACAATTTATGCTCCGAAATACAAGAAGAGATCGAAAATTAGGCCAACTTTTCGATTATCTCGAGTACGAACTAGTCGCTGAGAGGAACACCTCTGAAGAACTCAGGTAATGCAAGTTTGTATGTCGCTATAAAAATGTGATGTGACACTGCAAATGGGAATCATGAAAAAAAAAATCACAAGAACATGATGAAAACCACCTTGCCCAACACACTGCTGGCAGTGCGGCATGCATGCAACAGGTTTTGTGGGGTGGCGTGATGCAGATTTACGTCGCACCCATCTCGTACATTTTTCACGTATGCGCGACTCCTGCAAGTGTCTTGCTCATTTTATAGATAATGCTCTTGCATAACTATCGTATAATATAAACGATGTGGTCCTGGATCGGATGTGCTTGAGTTTAGCAAACCTTTTGGAACTTCAAGACATCCTCAGTTCTTCTCATCCTTCGATTTCTTATATGGTACTTCACTCAAAGAAGTAACATGCGGTGAAATACAATAACTCAGTGTAGCAGAACTTTGGAGGATTCGAACATAAAGTCTGAAGAGAGCTATAGTGCTTTGCGACGATCTCTTTCCAGCGGAATGAGGAAAGGACGGTGCGAGCCAATGGAAGGCACGCGACGCAGCCGCGCGCAGGTTGCATTGGCGCATTCCCTACGCACACAATAACTATTGTGGGAGTGTTGGGGTCGTATCGAGACTTCTAAGGGGGAGGTCACAAAATTTTTGAAAGTGAACCAGCATGACGGTGACCTTGATTGGAGGCACGTTTCTCGGGTCTCATTCCAGAATAAAGCAACTGAAATTGAGGGGTCGGAAAACAGCAGAATTACTCAAAAGAAAACTAACAGAAAGTATCTGTGAAAGCTCGGTTGTAAATTTGAGGGGGGGGGGGGTTAAAACTAAATAGTGCAGCTATTCTGTGAAGTTGTTGGAGCACAATACAGTGCGTACCAAAAGTATGTGGACACCCTAGAATCGATTCTCAGGAGTCAGCTAAAGGTTTTTTGTGTTATGAAACCTTCACCATTAAATTCCTAGCGGTCGGTTACCTACAATGACATTTTCGGCAAAAGATTTCGTTCCAACTTAGCAACTATTTTTCATGGAAAGTTTTTTCTTTGTATCAAAATTATGTTGACACCCTGAGACAGATGAAGGTCTTGCATCGATTTCCTAACCTATTTTTACTTCTCCTTTCGTTACTTTTTCTGGCATCATTCCTCTTTACGACGAGCGTTTTTCTGAAGAAGACCGACCGCAGAAATGGGATCCCCATGATTCTGAACCTTCCTATTGCGAAATAGCACGTCATGTCATGCGTCCTCGTAGGTTTGGAGAGAAATCCGAAATCCTGATGCTAAGCTCTCCACCTTGACTGAGGGTTGTTTCAACCGCTTCTTATTCAATTCAGGAGAAGAATAGCCTAATTTTCTCAAAGTTTTCTTTTCGTACTGCTCAACTTCACGCATAAATGATCTTCCCGATCTTAAAAAAGACCAATCGCTGTCTCATTCAATCAACTGAGCACACGGCACGAAAGAAGGTGAAGAAGGCTTTGTATATGAATGCGGATCACAACATGATACTTTGAACCCACGCAGACAGCGCTTTCGTGGAAATGGTAAAATTAGTATAAAAGACTTTCTGTGGAAATTTCTCTCATAGACCAACTCGACTGACAGAAAGAAGCTTATTCCTTACTATTCGGGTGGTTCTTGAGGTTTTTGGAGAGACCCTGGTCGGACCGCCGACTGTGCGCAAGAGACAATTCGGAAGATGTTCATCAAAGGTCTGGGGTGGTTCCAAAAGGAGGGGAACATTGAAGTTTGGCTGGCCAACATGTCAGGTAGACGATAGGATTATAATGAGGTGCTTGAGTCCCGGCTACAACCTTTTTCGAAAAGTCATGGTTGCAAATTACTTGTTTTGCAGGGGAGGTCCCTGACACTATTCCACTTGGAAAAATGCTAAACGCTACGGCTTTGATTGGCAAGTCGGCTAGCGAATTCTTCAGACTTCATCCTCGTTGCAAACGTAGAGGTATCGCGGTTCGCGATCTCTATGTCATTGAACAAAAGATTAATATCACAAGTGGCCCAACACGTCGGTGAAATTAGTTGGGAACAGATCTGCAAGACATGTATCCAGACCCCATTCATAGCATGCCAAACAGAATGGCTCAACTTACTAGAAACTTTGGTAGGCCTACTGATTTCAGATTCTGAAGATATCGCCGTTTTTCAAAAAGTGTCCACATAATTTTGATACAAAGAAAAAACTTTCCATGAAAAATAGTTCGCTAAGTTAGAATGAAATCTTTGAGCGAAAATATCATTGTAGGTTATCGACCACTAGGAGTTGAATGGTGGAGGTTTCATTACATAAAATTCTTTAGCTGACCCCAAAGAATCGATTCCAGGGTGTCCACATACTTTTGGTACGCACTGTAGTCTTGGGATCTTCGCAAGATATCTCATCGATGAATGGATTCTCCTTCCACATATGAATTGAACTAGTACATTTGACCAAGGATCAACCCAAATAGTTTTTGGGCTTCAGCAGAAGCATTTTTATTTTGAGTGTTCATGTAGAGTGAGTGCAAGTGTGAACATTTGTGTACTTTGTTCCAAGAAACGTTCATAGAGAGATATTTAGAAACTAGTGGAAAAAAGTACCTGAGTACAATGCCTTAAAAGCTTTTTCTGCTGGACCTATAGTCTTTTATTGTTTGCAGGACTCGGGCGCAGGAGTGGGAACAAATGTGTAAGGCGGAAAGCATGCGCTGTGCTGAATTGAAAGGATTGTTGGACAGAGCCACAAATGTGAGTTCGTATTTCGGTCAGGAATATTTTCACTGTAAGTATATCACTACCACTTTCATGATATTTGTTATCGCTTTACCTCTGCTCTCTAATTATTGGACTGTCCCAGAAGGTCATTCGTTTCCTGCTTGTCGTATAGGGACTTTTTCAAAGGCGTAGTTTACGTTTAAAAAAGTCCCATTAGAAAGGAAGTAAATGTAGCCACTGATGCAAGGATAAAGAAAAATTACGAGAGACAGCGTAGGGCCCAAAAAATGGGACCGAGTCCGTTGATTTTCGCCTTGGTGCGACGAGTTCGTAGCGTTTCTCCTCCCGGGGTCAGGTCACCTAAAACAGACGCTGTCCATTCGCTCGGAGCAAGTTTAGGACTAAACCTGGGCCCAACCATAGGCTTAAGCATAAGCCAATGTGTGAGCATAAACCTTAACCTAAGTCCAAACCCAAACTTAACCTTAAGCTTCAGTGATCGCGCAACTGTGGTGACCTGACCCCATGAGGAGAAACGCACGTCTCCCGGCGGACAACGGCGCCAGCGTCGCGAATGCTAGACCGCTGGGGCATACCCTCTGCTGCGATGCGCGCTTCATCCCACGCACTGGGGGGGGGGGGGGGAGGATGGGGGGATCTGCCTGCCTTGTGGCTAATCTCTTAACCCTTCTTCGATTGGTTTTTTCTACTTGACGAGCGCAAGGCCACGCGTTTCGAAGATGATGCATCTCGAGATTCTAAAACTTGCTGAGAAGTCCTACCGTATCCATGTACAGCACTGACTAGCCCCTTTCCGGCTTCCAACTACTCCTATTGATCACCATCAGCAGCCATCTTGCTTTCAAAAATACGATTTTCAAGAAGAAATCATCTCACAGCGAATTGCATCTCATAGCCCTGTCAGGCTGATAGTGCCTGTCATCTGGGTCTGAGGCACACTCTAGATAGCCACTGGCAACAAGCAACCAATATTGATGACAAATATACTAATAATAAATATTGCCTGCTCCGCAAATGTCTCCTGAAAAAATCTCTGAGTGGCACTAATTTTGTTGCATGATATGTTACGTAACTCAGTCAAGGATCGTCACTTCTCTCTAAACACTTAATTTAACCCGATTTTTTTTTCAGATGATTCGTGAGCAGAAAGACGCTGCTGAACAAAAGTTCCTTTCTCTGCAGGCCGTAGTTCGGAAACAAGAAGAGCATATATTCAATCTGTACCGCCGCACAGAGGTATGGGATCAATTTTCTACATGTACTCTGTGAAGCGTGATATCGTAGCGTGATCTGACCAGGAAAGTCGTTCAGGACATGTGGCGCTTTTTCAGAACGATTTTGTATGTTATAGTGCACCTGCGTAGGGCATAGATTTGACAATGGTTTTTCTGCTGCTGGAGTTGCCAGAAAAATTTAGTAACTCCTCTTAGGAAGCGGAACTTTTACATTTGAATGTACTCTACACCATTTATAAGGTTGAATTGCATATTGCAAAGTTTTCTTCAGTGAATGAGTTTAGACCACGGTCAAGGGAGGCGTCGGCGAAAATTTCGAAATACGACCCCTTTTCGCAACGGCCGAAGTCCGAAACGGCTCTTCTCAGGGCTGAACTGTGAAAAAGTGACTTGACCCTCCTCGAAAACCTTTTATTATTTTTTGTTTTTCATTTTCCAAGGCCATAAATTCAAATTTCTTTAAACTCGTCAAAGCTAAAACGTTAGAAGAGCATTTTGAACAAGAGGGTTTCCTCTATTTAACAGTTGTTAAACTGGATTTATTTAAAATTTCAAAAACGGCTCCGTTGAAGATTTTTGCAAGAGTTTCGCCGAGAGGTTCTCCTTCGCTCCATTGGTTCTCTTTCAACGGCTGTACCGCTTTCAGGGACGATTTTGTACAAAGTGGAAGGAGATTCAGAGGCAGCAGCTTTTTTCCAATAAGTATAAACCCTTTTAGCAAATTCCATCTTCACGATTACTTCTTTATGAGTTTGGCGCTGAAAACTGTACATCTTCTCGAGTGGAGGATTCCTCCCTGTCATTTTACACGGCCCCTTCCAGAATTTCCTTGGTTTTTCTTGAATTGAGGATTTTCCGTCAAAAGAGGTAGCTGAAGCGCACGCAACTGACTGGGCCTTGACGCGCCGTATGCTTCACATTCCTTCATATTAGTTGACCAATTTTAAAGGTAAAATATCGTCGAAAAACTTGTTGCAGTGAATCCTGAGGTATGTAGCCCAGGATTGCTACTCGAACCACTTTGAACCACAAACATTCTGTGTGGCCGGAATAACATTGTTATTGAAATTCTCCAGCCAAGCTTGCACAGCATCACTCCTTGATGTTTGTCTTCCGACAGTTATGATCCTACTGCATTGACCCACCCGACCCCTTTCTCCCAGCGGGCCAAGCACGACCCCTCCCTCCCCCCCCCCTGTCGACCCGTTGAGGATTCCTCAACGCAAGTTTGGCTCTGGTTTTGACATATGAACACAGGGAAGTGGACAGCGAATTGCAAACTTTGTCTGCAGTGGGAATGGAAGCATAACCCATTGCTTCCCCATATTTGTTGGCATTGGCCACTCAAAAATGATCGTCACTTTCATGCTCCACGCGCATGCCTTCATAACATGCAAAATCGTCTAAAAACTACTACATCCCTTGGAAGACTTTCCTAGTGAGTCACTACGTGTTTTACTTTAAAAAAATGTTCGACCATTGAAAGTACTTTTCTACTCCATAGCACTCTTTTTCGCTCTCCGATATTCTGACTCCACTGTAATGGACTTGTTAAAAAGTGGCATACTCAAATGGCGAAAGGCAGCAGCGCATTCGATAACTGCTATCTTTATTTTTTCTAAGTTTTTTTTTTCGCTGAAGAGCGGCTCTGAACATCCAGGTTCTTCAGGAAGAGAACACCATAGGCGAATAAAGTACTCAAAAATGTTTATAATGTATCATGTATAAAAACGATAATTTCACTCGGGAATTCATGCGCTGAACGTCGCGATTTCTGTTCGATGGGACTGAAAGAAAGTCTTGCTCTGAAAAGGACTCGAGAAAGTTAAGACTTCGTTAAAATCTTTGAATGGCTTCGTTGCAAAGCGTGGTTCAGGTTTTGCTATTGAAAAACCGCGAGTAACGAGGCCAATAAATCCAATCCCATAGCGGCGCGCCCCCGCACGGGAAAAGACTTGTCAAAGTAGCTCTTTCAGTGTTTTGAATGCGAAGTTCTTCAGCATCCACCGTACTCCCCAAATCTTCCCACAATCGCCATTTACCTTTCAGGGTTTTTTCCAAATCACATGGCATATAAATAGAAAGATTTTGAAGATTTTGGAAGTGGGCTCAATTTTCTTGCTTGAAAAAAATAGTTGTTACAAAAAAGTCATACAAACTATTTAGAAAAGAATTCGTAATTTTCTACAACATGTCCCCATCTTCACATCGAATTGGTGACGCTGACACCGTAATAATTCTAGCTCTGAAATGATCAATTCTTTGACTCATTTCTGCAATTCTTTGAGGCTTCAGAAACATATGCCAGCCTGACAGCGCTCTAACGATTTGACAAGTTGAGTGTCAGAAGGCTTCGTTTGTGGTGTCTACTTTGAAGGCTTCTTTTCCGAAAGGAAAACATTTTTTTTCTGGAAAAATTTTGTCTCGCACCTTCTTGACCACCGAAGGGGAAATTCGGGTGTCAGCTGATTTTCTTCCCCTTGTATGTCCCCTTGTAAACGCATGAACGCATGAACGCGCTAAGTAATGTAAATGTAGAAGGCCAATGTGAATGGTTGAAACATTTATTTGGGCCGCTGAGGAAAAAGGAAAGGGCGGAAGAAGCAATTTTAAGAGCATCTCTTGAGGTGGTTCTAAACAGTAAATAAATCATTAATAATAGCTGGGTGTAAAAGAACGCTGTTGTGACCAACAAATTATGGCGGGAGTAACCTCATTAATTTTTTGAGGCAATTTCTACCCCCACTGAGTCGAATATGTTTTTTTACAACTTTTCAGCGTTTTGGAGAAATTGGCCCACTCAAAAAAAACTTTTCTTTCCATAAGAATAAAGGGTCTTGGGAAGGTGCCGGAAGTATGAAGTAGCAAAAGAAGTTTGGGATGTTCCTGTTTGTGCGCGTATACAAAAAATCACTCATGATTATTTTTTCAATTTTCATATAGCGTTCTGATCGATAGATTGTACTGAGTGAACGCTACGATATTGCGCACTAGATTTGTAAGTTTATTAGAATCTCTTAGGCCGTTGCCAGACTTTGCGAATTCGCGCGATTCGCTAGCGTCTGCGGTCGCGTCGCGACCAGTGAATCACTCAATTGGCTGGTACCGCAACGCGACCGCGACGCTAGCGAATCGCGCGATTCGCAAAGTCTAGCAGCGGCCTTAGTATTCAATGAGCCAGAGCTATTTAGGAACAGGAGGATATGTTGCGACGGTTACGGAACAGTGCCTCACAAACTGCCGAGGATCTCCCATTAACTAGTGTTCCACCCGAGATGCGTTCATTCGAGAACAGTCTGTAAGTGCTGTATTGTGCATTTAAATATGTAGTAATTCAGACATCTGGCAAGGGGAGGTCGTTCAGAGCGTGGAGCGCTTTCTGAAAATGGTCATTTGCATGATTTAGGGGCATGTGCATGTAACACAGAAATATGGTCCAATTCCACTGAATGGCTCTCTGAATGTCAAAAATGGAATGAAATTAGATTCAACAATAGATAGCATTTACTCTTTATGTGGACTGTTTCGACGGCGTCAACCATTAGCATAGTAAACTGCTCAGTTATCTTTGCGTCTAAAATTGACGTGAAGTTCAGCCAAAAATGGAACCTTGTCATATTAACCGAGGAAGGCATTCATCTTTCCATGGAACTCTGAATTGAGACCCAGATTTATGGGTAGAGCTCGAGACGCTGACTACAGTGGAAACTATAGCTGCAAAATGGACCTGCCAAGGAAGTTGTGAACAGTCAAAGTTGGCTAAAGTAAAGCGCTGCATTTGAACCGTGCTGGACCTCACGTCTTCAGTGTCGCTGCGGAGTAGTGGTACTGCCCTCACTGATCACCCGGGACAACGTAAGTTTTTTCCCCGTGAACGTGCAAATTTTGAGAGCACTAATACTACTTCACACGACTTTTAAAGCCCGGAGGTTTGCACGGTCAATACGAGACGCTCTACTTTCAGCCAACTTTGACTGCTCACAGCCTCCTTAGCAGTTCATTTTGCTGTTTCGGTTTCCATATTTGCAATCAGCGTTTTAAGATGTATCGACATATGTAGGTCTCAACTCAAAGTTCCATGGGAACTTGAATGCCTTCCCTGGTAAGTGCTGGAGTGTGGGAAAGTTTCACAAGTGCGGTCTGCAACAAAGCTGCTCGGAACGTCGGCTGGTGTAGTGGATGGTGTTGTAGACTGAAATTGGGACCAGTGGGTTATGTTAGTGGTGTAGATCCTTGTTGTGCCAAGATTTGCATATTATCTTGTCACCCTCGGGTGACCAGGAGCACGAATAACCCCAATAAGGTGTCTTCACCGGAAATTGGTGAAAAAATTGCATCCTTAGAATGGCGCAGATAGGCGCCAACACCAACAATGAGTGGCTCTTATTTGTGATTAGCGCTCTGAACAACCCTTGCAGGGCAGGCCAAAGAGATATTTGAGATCTTCGAATGTGTAACTTTCTCCATACTGCAAACAAATTATTATCATTGTGGTTCAGCTTTAGAGGGCAAGTGAAGCGCAGTTGTCTGCCGCACTAACTGCACCTGACAAATGCATAGAAAGAGCAGTTACTGATCACTCGACAAGTGCCAACTAGCTCTCCTCCGTTCAACCCGTAATCATTCGGTGTTAAGCACGCTCCTGGTAGGTTGTTAACGAATATCCCCAGCTCGCACGGATGCGTTGCAGTTCTCCTCCTCAATCAGGTTACCTAAATTTGAGTCAGCGTTCATTTGCTCGTAGCAAACTAGGAGTAAGCCTTGGCCCAATCGTAGGCCTAAGCATAAGCAATGCAACCTTAACGAAGCTACTTAGAGAAACTTTTTAGCCTGCTCGGCGAGGGTTCTCCAGTGCGCTGACCACGAATACTAATTATTCATTTTTGGTGTTGGCTCCATTTAGCGCCAAAATGATTTTCCGCCAATTCCCAATGAAGGCCCTCCTTATCGGGGTTATTGCTGGTCCTGAAATACCCGATTTGTTACTTGTGCAAATTGTCA